TGGTGACAGGAGAAGGACAGCCTCTGGGGTTCAGGGTTGCTGGGAATTGGGTGGGTGCATCTATGTGGAATATTTGCTACATTTGAAGGGAGCAGGATTAATAGTCCAATCTCAGGTCATTGCAGCTGGAAGAACATCCGCTTCTTGTCATGGTGGGATTTTTAAGGAGTAAAGGAGTTGGGATCCTGCAACCTGGTGCCTGTGGATAGCTTTTCCTTCCCCAGGTGATGGGAACATAGCCCTACCTGGGGCCTATATTCACTGGAGAGTTGGAGGTGGGGGCTAGAGCCTGGTCCTTGTCCTTGCCCATTCTCTGCCAGACAGAGCAAATGCTTTGCCCTCCCCTGTGTTGCAAGCTTCTTCCTCTTTCTTAGAGGTGGGTGGGGAGGGATTCCTACCCTGGTAACCTTCTACCCCCAGGGTGGGGTACCCACATTTCGGGCAAATGTGGCCTTCTTTGGCTTTCTCCACCCAAGTTAAGCAATGCCCCCTTCCTGTCCCCTCCTCTGTGAGCCTGTTAGTTTCCCAGCTCCTCCCCCACTCCTAGTAAACAACAACAATTTCTCTTCCTATTTAGACCCCAGCTTCTGAGCTTCCTTTTCTGAGATCAGAGGCATGGCTTTGGGTTTGAAGGCATCTCTTTCCTTCTCCTGTAGGGGTGGAGGAGCCTGGTGATCAGAGCTCTTCAGCTCTGGGTAGGGAAGCAGGACTGATAAAGATGTCACATGTCTGTCTTGGAGATGGAGGCAGCTTTGCTTGCCCCTTGGGGCTGACGATGGGATCAGGCTGTTCTGGAAGAGATGAGATTGGTGGCCTTCCATTCCTGAAGGGAGCAATGATGTACTCTGGTCCTCTGAGGAAAACTCACTGAGGATGCTGCCTTTTCTTGTTCCCCACTGAGCAAAGGTGTTGGGACGGTTCCTCCAACCCCTTTCAGCTCTCTACCCAGGTGGGGTGGAGGCAGCACCTTAGGTGTTCTGGGTGTGCCCTTCAGAAACCAAGTGGCCTGTGGAAAGACAGAACTCCTCTCTGGTTCACTGCAGGGAAAGGTGGGCATTATCCTAATGCCTGCTGTATCCTCCCAGGGAGCCAGGTGGGAGGCCCCCAAGAGAGTATGAGACCTTCCTCTCCCCTTTGTGCTTGGCCTCTGAGGACTGGTGTTTACTGTGGAGGTTTGGGCTGCTGTGTGTATTATGGAGGGTTTTAGGGGTGAAAGTCAAGGTTGAGTTTTTGTGTTAAGAAGGAAATTAAGGGGCTGAGGATATAGCTCAGTTGGTAGAGTGCTTGCCTTTCATGCACAAGGCCATGGGTTCAATCCCCAGCACCAAAAAACAAACAAGAAGGGAATTAATGGCTAGTGTGTATTTGGTGAGAGAGTTCCAGAGTTGAGTGTGTTTTGGGAGAATCAAATCCAGTGCTCCAGAGGGGGTGTTGCTTGTTTATATATATTGTTTATATGCCAGGGCTCAGGGCGGGACATGATTTATGGCATAGCTTGTGTGCTTAAGGGGGAAGTGATCTTTCTACTGTTGTGTTTGGGAGGAGAGGGTCTCTCTTTCTTATGCTTGTGTCATGGCTCTGCTCAGCTGAAAGGGAGAACTAATCTTCCTTTTTTGTTGCTTACCCTGGGAATTCCATGGGCCAAGGGGTCTGACTGGGGGCCATGGAGTGGGCATTGGAGCTCGCCGGTCAAAACTTGGACATACTATGTGTGATTACCTCTCAGAACATGTTTCCTCATTTATAAAACAGGGATATTACCAGAACCTACCTCAGAGGACTGAGTTAGGCAAGATTGTCAAGGTATTGTATTCAGCTGTGTGTGGCACATGACCCTATGCCATTGGACCTTCGTTGTTTGTAGGTGGGAGCTGGAGAGAAAAGGAGGCTGTGGGTCAGGAACTTTATCTGGGTTTTACAAATCTTAATCCCTACAATCTTGGGAGAGGGAACTTACTCCCATTTACACAAGTTAAAACTTAAGGTATGGCAGAACCCAATCAGGAGGACTGTAAAGCGGGGCTGTTTCCCACCATCCAGATAGGCAGGTGTGGGGAGACACTTCCTGGGTGGAGAGCCTGGAGGGAATTCTGTGCCAATGTTGACACTCCCTCCTGTTGTCCTATGGCTGAGGCCCAGTCTCTGCTTTAGCTTTCCTGTCCCACCCCCACCCCAGGGGGGTGCAAGGAAGGCACCAAGCCACACCCCCTCTTCTCTGTTTTGGATTCTGAAGGCTGGAGGAAAGGGGAGATAAGATGCCAGCCGATCTCCATCCTGTCCTGGAAGTTGTGGCTACAATCTGTTCACACCCATCCCCACCTCCAGTCTGCCCGCTGCAGCCCACAAGAGTTTGCAGAGCTCAGTGGGTACCCTCCCCCCATCTTCAGACAGACACTGAAGGAACAGCATGTAAAAGCCACAGTTCCTATTATTCTTATTTTGTTTCAATTTGTGGGGTGGGTGCAGGGAAGTTCAAAGCAGTCAACAGAGGAGCCAGGGATGGGAGCCTGAAAGCGTGGCTCCAGATTTTCCATCTAGGAGTTTGCTGTGTGTCCACAGAGACTGGGGAGTGTCCTCAGGGTTTGGGTAAGCCTGGACCTGAGGCACAGTGGAGGGGGCTATGCCTTCCTCTTTTCTACTTCCTCTCCTTTGCAGTCTGTGCACCCTCCCTCCCTTCTTCCCACTCTCAGATCAGGGGGAGGGGATGCTGCCTAGCAATGCCTTTTCTGGGGGTCCAAAATGCAGAGTCAACTGAGAGCCCTTGGGAAAGGGAGTTGTCTGAATGAAAATGGGATCCTTCACCTTTAATCTTCCAGCATGGATAAAGCACAGGCTCTCTCAGTGCAGGTCCCTTCATGGAATGGCAGTAGAGGCTCGTGGAAGGAAGCCTCTCTTTCTCTTAGGGGAGTCAGGTTCTGAGGCATTGTGTCCACCTCATGCCAAGGGATATGTGCCCATGTGGATGTGCTAGTACAGGACCTCACAGCCCTGTGAGGGGTAGTATCTGTGGAAAGAGGAAGTGGTACCTTCTCCAAGTCATGCTGGGGTGGTACCTTCTTCTCCTCCATGGCCAGGATAGACTGGAGGTCATTCAGCTCTGGCTATATCAAATAGAGGTCTTCCTCTTCCTGAAGATGACCTGACACCCCTCTACCCTTATCTTCCCCCAAGGGCAGAAGTCCTAAAATATAGTTCTTCCTGTGTGGCCTTGGGCAGGTCACCTAACCTCTCTCTGAGTCTGTTTTGTCCTTCTTGAAGAAAGACTCCTAGTTTGTCCCTGGCTGGACTAGTTGCTGTGAGGCCACAATGACCCACTTGCTGGTGATAGCTTCTGTGAGTTTCAAATGCCTTCAAGAACAGTGATAACAAGGGGCAGGGTGGAGCTGGGCATTGTCTTAGGAGATGGCCACCCTGTATTCAGATCTGGCATCAGGCCTCATGATCTGTTTAATGTCCCCTCTAGTTGAAGGTGGGGACAGAAGGGAAGACACACTGCTTAGCACAAGTGGGAGCTGGTTCAGCCCACTCTTGCTCTGGGTTTGCTAAGCACAAAGCCCTGGAGGAGCTAGAGCTGGGAGAATGAAGCAGAGGAGGATGGGGTCCAAGCTTCCACACCCTGCTGTTGGCCAGAGCCTTCCTTTTCTCCTCTTCTCCTACTGCCCCAGGATACTGTGTTCTGCCTTGACCTGCTGCATGACCTTGCAGTTGCCCAGAACAGGCACTTCGCCCCAGCTTTTCTTTTCTAGCTCTGGAAATCCTATCCATCCTTCAAGGAACATCTTGAATGCTGCCTCTTCCCCAGAATCTTCACAGATGTTCTCCTTTCCTTGCCACCCTCTCCCTCCCTCCCTCCTTTGAATGCCTGTGGCTCCTTAGTTTTTTCTTTCTTACAACACTCATCTCTTTACCAGTTACTTCTTCCTTTCCTACAGTGAGCTATAATCATTTGGGAGATCTTGCCCTGACCACAAGGGACAGTGTCAGATCCCTTACCACTTTGCAGCTGTGAGCATAGAGCCTAGCACATAACTGGTGCCAAAGAGCTACATCATTGGACGGAAAGATACCAAGGGCACAGAAGTACTCTGTCCTCTTCTCCAGCAGCCTCATTCACTGCCAAGACTTGCATACCTATCCCAGCCCCCAGTATTCCTTCTGCAACCTTGACCTTCAGTGCTGAGCCCCAAACCCATCTATCTGCCCAGTAGCAGAAGGACTTCTCTATAGTGCTGTCTCAGGAACTTAGCTATTGTGTAAGCTATACCAGATACCCTTTCCCACTCCACCCCACCCCCATTGGTTCTTCCTTTAAAATATCTTGTGAATTCACCTTTCTCTGTCCCTCACCACTGCCAGTTTCTTATGCTAAGCTACCTTTGCCTTAGCCTGGACTCCTGCAGTAGCTTCTAAATGGTCATTCTTGCCATCCTTTTTTAATCCATTCTTTTTGGTGGTGCCAGGGATTGAACCCAGGGCCTTGTGCATGCTGGGCAGGCACTTTACCAACCCCACTCTAATTCATTCTTCACATAGTATGAATTTCTTCAGGTCTTGCTTCTTTGCTTGTAATCTTTTTATGACTTCTTGCATTTAGGATAAAATCCAAAAGCCTTATTGAAATCTACATAGTCTGGTCTTAGCCCACTTTCCAGCCTGGTCTGATGCCTCTTTTTCCTCTTGAATTTCATCTGCATCCATCCTGTCTTCTGTCAGTTCCTTGAATGAATCATCAACTTCTTTACCTCCAGGACCTTTGCACAGGCTCTTTTATTGGAACTGTACTCCTTCCTGCTCTTTCCCTGATTTCTGAATTTCTAAAATGTCTCTGCTTTGAATTTTCCCTTGACCTTGACACCTTTCTTTCAGAGCACACTATACTTGTGACATAATACTCCCTCTCTCTCTCTCTCTCTCTCTCTCTCTATATATATATATATATATATATATATATATACACACACACACACACACACACACATATATACATACACACAGATATGTACATATAATGTTTTCATATTACACATTAGTAGATGTTACTCCAGAAGGTCTTCAGGATATCCACTTTATAAAAGACACTTAGAAAATACAGTTCATATTGAGTTGCTTTGGTGGAAGCATGTGCTCTGGTGACAGAAACTTGCATCTTTACTCATTATATTAGTAGTGTGATCTTGCAGGACTCATCTACTCTTGCTGAGCTTTCAGTTTCTTTTCTTGGTGGTATTGGGGATCGAACCAGTCTCATGCAGCTAGGAAATGCTCTACCATTAAGCCACATCTCCAACCCAAACTGTTTATTTTTAAAGCCTCTTGCAGTTGCTGTGAGAATTAAGTGACAACATATGTAAAGCACCTGGCTTCTAGAAGAATAACCTTCTGTTTTATGTAAATTCATCTCCTTTTTACAGAGCAGGGTAATGGGATACTCCTCCTCCAGGGGCATCCCCTTTTTCTAAGGACCTACCCAACCAAGGTCCTTCTTTCAAAGAAACAGACATCCTAGGCATCCTGAGGGCTTCCGGGAGGAAGTGGTCAGCTGGAAGACACCAGACCCTCCTTTTATCTCTCCAGGGCTGGACCATTTGGCTGTGAATCCTAGTTCCCTAGCTGGGAGACACCCTGGGCGGGGCTTTGCTCACCGGAAGCACGCAGAGTGGAGAGGAGAACCCCCTCTGCTTGTGTTTATGCCAACAGTACTGCGCTGCTGCGTTGGGTTCCGGCGGGCGTACTGGTGGCCCGAGTCACACATGATGTCACAGACAGTGACACAAGCCGGGTGTCTCATTCAGACACAGTACCCAAGTTGCACAATGTCACAACCGGGACACTAGGCACGCTGCGTTCGTGGCTCTAATGCTTGGCCACAGGCACCACGGCCCAGCCCCACCTTCGGCCGTTCTCTGCGTGTCTGGGAGAGCTGGCCCGGTCGGGCCGGGCAGGGGACCGGCGGGCGAACCCTGCGGGTGATGTCACGGGCAGCGGTGGGTGGGTCACTTGGAGGTGAGGCGCCGCTAGGCGAGTTCATCGAGAGTTCAGCCGCATTGCATTAGGCAAATGAGGCCGGGGCTGGGTGGGGGTGTGTGTTAAGGGGAGGACACGGGGACCACCCCACCTCCCCGGTCTCCGCAGCGCCTGCCCGGGGATTGACCAAAGCTGGGTGGGGGGGAGGCTGGGAGCCGGAACTGGGATGGGTGAGACGCCCGCCCCTCTTCCGCCCGCACCCCTCCTTTCCCGTACCCTGCCTCCGTCTGTACTCGGTGTACTCCTCCTTTGGTTCGTTTTTCTCTTCCTTCCCCTCTTCTTCCCCTTCGAGGATCTCCCCACTCGCTCTTCACTGTCTCCCTGTGTTTCGTCATCTACAGTCAGACCCGCCCCAAAAGGGTTAAGCCAGGGGCGGTGCCTGATCGGGGCGGGGCAGAGGAGAGGGGGTGGGACCGGAGGGAGGGGGCTGTCGGCCGGGGGCGGGGGCTGGGGGGGCCGCGGCGCACACTCGGGAGACCCATCTAGCCGCCCGCGGCCCGGCCTGGCGGAGGCGGGGCCGCTCGGGGTTCCCACCCCCACCCGGAATCCTCGCCCGGGAGAAGCCCGGGAGTCCCGGAGCGTTGGAGGAAGTGCTCGGAGACCCCCCCACCCCGCCTACTCCTTACCGAACCCGCCTCCCGCCTGCGGACTTGGGGAGCCGTCAGACTCTTCCTCGGACACGGGAGACTTGAGATGGGAGCCCCCTCGAGGTGAAGCCGCCGAGTTCCCTGGCCTCCACTGAGCGTCCCCTCCCAGGGACCCCAGTCTGCACACGCAACTTCCCGCTTTCCACCTGGGACTGGTGGAGGGACTGGTGGAGAGACCGGCGGACTTAGACGTTGGCACTTAAGGACAAGGGCGCCCCCGCTGCCCGGCTGCCCGGGTCGCCAGTCGGGGCAAGGGGACGTATTCCTTGTCCCCGGCCTCTGCTCGGATGGCGCGGCCCGCTGAGTGAGGGGGCGGCACGCAGGACTTCCCCACCTGGACCTCTTGTTTTCAAGGGGGAAGATGTACGAGAGTGTGGAAGTGGGGGGGCTTGCCCCCACCCCTAACCCCTTCCTAGTGGTGGATTTTTATAACCAGAATCGAGCCTGTTTGCTCCCGGAGAAGGGGCTCCCCGCCCCGGGTCCCTACTCCACTCCGCTCCGGACTCCGCTTTGGAATGGCTCAAACCACTGTATGTACCGGCCTCCGCTCTGCTATTGTAGGAGGTGTGGGTGGCGGTGGGGCTTCCACTTCTCCCCGGGATGCGCCTGGGCGCGGTAGGGGTCTTGTCCCTCCCTTCACTTTCCCTTATCTCACTTCCACTTGAGTGCCCTGGCTGGACAATTGTCCCCAGTAACCCTGGGGTGCTGTTTCTGTTATAACCGGGATGAGGAACTTTGAGGGTTCCTCCTTTCAAAGAAGCATTCATTCACCTCTCTTGCACTTCTTCCAGGGGACTTGAAGCCCAGCCTCTTGCCCCCAGTTTATATCTTCTTGTTTGGAATCCCATAGCTTACCAGCAGGCTGGAGGGTGGGATAAAGGTGCTCCTGTGAGCTTGTCTGATCCCAGGGGGAGGGGCTATCTCCCCAGATCCCACCCCTGCTAAAGCCAGGGGGAGAACCCCCTCCCATGCACATCTGCTGACCCTAGCCCCCACTCTTGTGTCATTAGAGTGAGTATCAGGAGAGTGCTCCGTCTTTGGTGCTTCCAGTGGGGTGTGGCAGAAGGGGCAACTTCACCAAATCCTAGTCTACTGTCCTGACCCAACCCTTAGGTAGGGACCAATCTTAGGGAGGGGTATCTGGTTCATCTGGAGGTGTCTTCGTCCCAGACACTGGCTAGCATCGCAAAGGATTCTTTCTCCAGGAATGGAATGAAGAGGCTGCTCTGTTGGGAATAATCCTTCTTCCTCTAGTCCTAATCTGGGTTGAGTTTGTCTTTGTGGGTCTGGGGCTGTTCTGGAAATGAGGAGTATATTATTCTCTCCTAACCCGACTGGCCACCAAATCCTTTTGTTAGTCTAGGAAATAGGGCCAGGTGTCTTTTGCTGTCCCTAAGAGGGGCACTGATGAGAACCCTGATGTCCTGGCAGTTGAGTACCTTCTCCAGTCAGGGTTTAGGCTGGAGAGGGAGGGGTTTGTGTATGCCAGGGTGAACACCTGGGTGTATTCATGCCCATCTGTGAGGTGGGCAAGAACAGGCGCTTGGGGGGTTATTGTTAGGTGACTCAGATTTCTTACCCTATCCATCTGTACTCAGCTCTTCCCAGGAGGTTCTCCCACCTTCTTAGACCTGCTGCCACTCTCTTGCCTGCCAGGGAGGAATGGAGGGGGTCTCTGGGGATCTGGCAGATTAGAAAGATTAAATGGCAAAGGACTTACCCACCCACCCGTAGCCCCTCTTGCTTCAGGAAGAGACCTGAAGTGGACAGATAGCCCACCTCTGCCCTCCCAGAGACTCCTCTACACCAGTCTTTCCTATTGTCCTGCCCCCTGACCTTTGCCTCTGGGGCTGAATCAGCTGTGAGGCTGCAGACCAGGAGGGAGGGGTGAGTGATAACCATTGGCTTTGGAAAAAGGGAGGTGAAAGAAGTGACATTAGAACCCTTTCCATTATCCCAGCAGTGGAGGAAAAAGTCCCCTCTTTACATGCACACCCTCCACAGGGATAACTGGGGCAGGGCTGCCAGGCCCACCCCTTTCACTGCCTTCTCTAGAGCACTGGGGATCTGGGAAACTGAGCCCTTGGGCTTCAGCCCCTGTCTCTTCCTTAGACCATGGGGACAGCTCAGCTCTACCTGGCCCAGAACTAGAAGGGAGGAGGTTTGCAGAGTCCTACATGTGGCCAGTTTGGTGAGGCTGCTTCCCTCAACCACTGGATATGAGGAAGTGGAGACCTGCTTCATACTCAAGCCTGGAGTGGGTTTGAGCTAGAGGCCTGGGTTCCAGTTCCCCTAGTCAGCGTGGGGTGTGTATATGGCAGCCATGGGGTATGAGTTTGCTCTGAGGCATGGAGGAAGAACCTGGAGTTGTGGTGGCCACTAGACCCTGTCTAGAGTGCATAGGACCAATGTCACCCCTTGGTATGGTGAGGCTCTCTGGGGACTGGAGTCATTTTCCAGCCCCCCATGGAGAATTCTCCACTCACCCCTTGCCTCCACCAAGGGTAGAAAAGAGCAGGTTTGTGTGGGAGGAGACCTACTGGATCCTGCAGGGACCTGGAGACCTTGCCTCCCTCTCCGCAGCCCCCTTTTCTGTGCCCTAGACAAGGGGTGCATTGGATGTGGCGCCCCATCTGTCCCCCACCAATCTCTGCAGCTCACGCCTCCGCCCCGCTCCCAGACGTCCAAGAATGTGAAGCACGTGGATGCCCGTAGTGGGGGAGGGGAGAGATGCTTATCGAGCGGCCCGCTGGGCTCAGGGCTTTCTTTCCCTGGTTGGCTGGCTGTGCTACACCCAGAGCCACCCCCACCCTCTTCCCCGGTGTAGGCCCGGCAGTTGAGAGAGGGTCCTTTGCCCCCTCCCCAATTCTCCCCAGGGTTTGTGGAAGGGAGCTGTGGAGGAGAGGGCGCCAGCTGGATTGGGAGGGGAGCCGCTGGCCAGGGGCCCGGCTGATTTCCTGCTGATCTCCTCCAGGAAACCGGCCCCTTGCGCGAGCCTGCGAAAGGCTCAGGGGCGTGGGGACTCCGAGTGCTCTGCGCGCCCGCCCAGGAGGGGGAACTGGGGAGGGGCACCCTGGCAGCAGTGGCGGGAGGGGACGCCGGGCTTCCTGGGCCGGTTCCAGCCCTCTACTGGGCGCTGGAACTTTGAGCTGAGAAGGTGTGGTCCTTCTTCTGCTTTAGTCCTGATTCAGGAAGAGGAGAGATTTGTGGGCTGGGGCCTCTCGAAGGGAGGCCTGCAGGGAGGGGCCAGGGTAGTCCCTCCTGGGTGGTATCTTTCCCCCTCCCTCTAGTGTGCAGAATTATAGCTGTGCTCTAATTCGTGCAGAAGCAGAGGGAGCCTGGAGTCCCCACACCTCTGCCTTGTCCCTCCTGCCTTGCTGGTTGGAAGCCTGGGGAGGTGGGGACTGTGCCCCAGGCTCTGGGTTCAAAGGGCAGAGCAGGAAACCTGGAGCTGGGTTATCTGGGTGACAGGTGGGGATATGTTGGGGTGGGGGTGTAGCTAGACTGTATTGCAGCCTAAAAGGTAGCCAACCAAGCTGCTGTGGGATGGCTGAAAGGGGCTTCACCCAGCCCAAACTGTAGCCCCAGCCCTGGGTAAATTGTAAAAAGCACATTTTTTTCAGCTCTGTAAACAACCCCTGGACTTTGCCTTAGCTTCAAATGTCTATGAGCCTTTGCCCCTCTGGTGTGTCCCTGACTGGCTGCTCCTCATCCTGGTATCCTGTGCCTTTCTCTGCTCCCCCTTCCTATCTGTACCCCAGAGCTCCCTTAGTTCTCTCCTCCTCCAGTCTGGTTCATTTTAGAGGGCGGGCTTAGGGCAAAGGATGGGTTAGAAGGGGAGGGGAGGTCAAAGCTTTCTTCCCCTGCCTGTTGGAATGCTGACCGGGATTCTAGGCCACAGCCCCCCCCCCACCTCCTTGTCCTTGATGCCCCCCCCCCCAGTCCGGATTGTCTATTGTTACTGCTTTTACATCTTGGAAAAAGTTAGCACAACAAAGGGCTCCTTTGTTGCTCACCCCTCTGCCTCCTGGCCTCACCCAGGCCCCCCAAACCCCCCCCCCCAGCAGCTGTTCGTTGGCTTCCCTGCCTGTCTGATTTGCTTGTCTGGCTTGGGGAGAATGAGATGGGGGGAAAAACAGGCCAGGACAGTTTGGTGTTGGGGTGAAGAGCAGAAGGCTGGGGGTGTAGGCATAGGTAGTCCCTTCACTGCAGGTTGCTCTCTGGGCAGGAAGGAGAACATGGGCTACAGCAGTACTGGTCAGCTGGGCTGACCAGCAAAGTGGTGCCCAGGCCTTACTAAGAGCCAGGAAAGCCTGCCAAGGTGGTTGGCCTGGTTCCCTGTCATCAACTGCCAGGCATCCCCTGGTATGTTTGCAGGTAAAGGGGGAGGGTGCTGCAGCCCCCTTGTCCCCACATGTCCTTTCTCTGTTCCTGGACTTTGGGGCCATAGGACTCATGTCTGTAAGGTACTTGGGCCAGGAGCTGGGGGTACTTTAAATGCCAGTTTCTTATATGCTAGAGTGTAGAGTGGAGCTTGATTGGGGTGTGTGCAGAAACATGTCCCTAGGGAAGCATCCTTACTCATCTTTGGCCCCAAAGAAGTGGATGTGGCAGGCCTCAGGAGGATGCTGGATGGCCCCTTGGGGATCCAGGATTACCTCTGTTGTAGTTCTTATCCAGCACGCTGCATCCCCAGTTGCCCAGGCTCTAGACATAGACATCCCCCACCCAGGCCAATCCTGTTTGGCCTGGGGTGATGGGCATGGAGCCAGGCACTAGGGAGATTTGGCCAGTGGGGGCTGCGCATGCTGGCTGGGTCACCCCTCCTGGCTGCCCTCTTGGAGCCGAATAACAGAAGGAGAGGGGGTAGTAACCCGGACATAGTATTGAGGCCAGACAGACAGAGCATTGATGGGAACAGGCCCCCTTTGTCATGATGCTTCCCCCCAGACATCGGGCACCCAGAGTGATGGGTTCCTGGGGCCATAGGGACTCTTTTCCTGTCTTCAAGGGATCTCCCTAAATATCTCTAGGAGGCCTAGCTTGCTCTACCCCAATATTTGTGATTCTTCTTTGCACACCCTGCCTTGAGTCCCTGGCCAGGGGATTGTTTGGGTGGAGGAGGGGCTGTGGTTGCTGGCAGAAGGGGTGGAGGGGGGAGCGGAAGCTGAGCTGAGGGGGCTGAGGGAGTGGCCGTCTTTGAATATCCTGTTGACCCCAGTTTCCTCTGCCCCCAGCTTATGTCCTCTTCTCTCCCTCCCTCATCAGGCCTTAACTCCTTCCTACCTCTGGGGAAACCAAGCCAATATGCCTGGAGCCCTCAGCTTTGGAACTGGGCTGATTCCTGCTCCCCACCCCACAAGCATAGCCATACACACACATACACACGCACACACACACACACACACACACACAATTTATAATCTGATCTTTCTGGTGTCAGAGGTGGGTCCTGGAAAAGTAGTCAGGAGTGATGGGGGAAATAGAGGTGTCATGGCAGCCTCCTTCCTCAGGGGAAGGCTGAGAGTGCCAGCTTTCCTGAGACTGTCCCTGCCCCAGGCTTTGAATCCTGCTGCAATGGTGAGCATAGGCTCCTGGATGGGACCAGGAGGCAGGGTGGGGCAAGGTCTCTAACTGCTCTCTGCTCTCTTCTCTCTTCTAGCCATTGAGACCCAGAGCAGCAGTTCCGAAGAGATAGTGCCCAGCCCTCCCTCACCACCCCCTCTGCCTCGCATCTACAAGCCTTGCTTTGTCTGTCAAGACAAATCCTCAGGCTACCACTATGGGGTCAGCGCCTGTGAGGGCTGCAAGGTGAGTTTAAGGAGTCATGGGGAAGGGCAGTCTTGATTAGATAAATGGGATGTCCCCAAAGATGTTGCTCTTGAGACTTGATAGCAGCAGTGGAGGCGTAGGGGACACCTGCAGTAGATCCTCCTCCTTGATGCCAGGGCTCCCTGAAACCAGTGGTGCCCTCCTGCCTGAGCTGCTTTCCCCAAATCCATCCTCCTGCTGGCAGGGCAAACATTGTTCTGCCACCGCTGCCCAGGTTGCCATGGTGAGCTGGCTGCCGACAGGCTCTTGGCTGGGGACCCAGGAGGCCTGCCCTCGGCGGCCCTGTCTGAATCTCACCATGGCAGCCGGGCAGAAGGCATTTGGGAGCAGGCACCCTGCCTTGGCCTCCCCTTTAGGAACCCAGTCTGTGGTGTGGGCTCCTCATGTCTGGCTGGCCCCACCCATACCTTAGACTCCAGGTTAGATGTAGCTGTACCTTCCCAGCAGCTCCTCTCCCTGTGAGTCTCGTACTGGGTTCTTCTTCCAGAAGTAGGGCTTACAAACTGCACAGCTTCGGGGCTGTGTTTGACTCTGGGTCACAGCCTAGAGTAGTTGTCCCCAGGTGTGAGACTCAGGTCAACAGCAAAGCCAGGCCTCAGACTGTGTGTGTCGTCTTCTCCTGTCTGATTGGTCCTGGCTTCTTCCTACCTAGTCTGTCTGTCTGTCTGTCTATCTGGGTGAACATGTGTATCGGTCTGGTTAGTGAGCCTGTCTCGCTGTCTTCTCCCAAGTCTGTGTGATTATGAGTGTGTACTTCTCTTCTCATCTTCTTGGCTTCTTCCTTCTTCTCATCTCTTTTTGTGTTCTGAGTGCTGGGCTGTGGGTTCCAAATCTCTGCCTCTTTCCCATCCAGGCCCATGTGTTCCTATTCCTGACTCATCAGCAGCCTTGAGGTCCTGTCCCCTCAAGGGAGGAGTCGTTTATGTGGGTGTAGGTTGGGAGAAGACTCCTGCCCACGCTGCAGGATTGAGGCGGGTCCTGGGATTCTCCTGAGGAGTCTCCTTCTCCTAGGTGAATCATCTACCCCCCTTTTCTGGCCTGCTCAAGGCTCAATGGGCAAAGGCTTGGGGGCAGCAGCTGCTGGCAGTCTTTCCCAAACTGAGACTCCATGCTGGGCACTGCTCCCACTGAGGGTGTGGATGACCTGACTCCTTGCCCTCCATACCCAGGGCTTCTTCCGCCGCAGTATCCAGAAGAACATGGTGTACACGTGTCACCGGGACAAGAACTGCATCATCAACAAGGTGACCCGGAACCGCTGCCAGTACTGCCGGCTGCAGAAGTGCTTCGAAGTGGGCATGTCCAAGGAGTGTGAGTGCCACAGGGCTAGGGGCCAAGCCCCACCCCAGGTGGGGCCAAGGTGCTCTTGAAGGCCAGTGGAGCAGGGCCGTGTGGATGTGTGTGCACATGCGTAGACATGCATGCTATGGCATGCAGGCTCGTGGTTAAGAATGGTTTGTGTATAGCTGCAAGGGTCTGTTTGTGGTGCCAGCTGGCTGTGGGTCCAAGTGTGGGTCAGTGCTCAAGCCCAGTGTGCATATAACTATTCCATTTGCACATCCGACTGTGGTATTTGTACATTCGCGCATGTGTATCTGCTCCCAGGATAGCTTTCTCCCAGGCCCTGCTTGGTGTTAGGGTGGGGCTCAGAGGCATACCTGATTATGCATTTTTGGGAGGGCCCGAACTCTGGGAGGTTCTAGGTTGGTATTTCTGTATGGAGTGGGAGCTGGTACAAGGATCCGAAGCCATTGTCTAGGTAAGCCTGGGACCTGGAGTTGGAAGAGAATTAGAGCTTCTCAGATCCCAAAGGAACAGGGGTTTCCAGTTTGGGCTCAGCTGAGGCCCAAAGGAGGGAGGGAGGGGAAGGCTGGACAGGGAGACCCTCTTGTGTTGAATCATGGGTGTTGCCGTGGTGACCGGTGATTGATGATGTCAGAGATAAATGACGCTGACAGACGCCTCCTTGTCTGCGTGGCCGTTGCTATGGAGCTTGAGCCTTGGGGGATGGAGTGGGGGAGGGAGCCGCAGGACCCCCTAGCCCTTTGTGGGGAGGGTAGTGAGGAGGGAAGTGGAGTGGGGGTTAAGGGATGAGGTGGTTCTGACTGATGCACCAGGAGCCCTAGACAGGAACAGAGGGGACCTGGAGTATCCTGCCATCTCCTGCCTCAGGAGGCTGGGCGTGCTTGGTTTTGAGCTTAGGAAGTGGTGCTCCCTGCTGTAGAGTGGGTGACAACTTGGGACCTGCAAGCCTGAGACCATCGCAGAAGGGCTATCACCTCCTCCTCCCTCTGGCCACCTTCTGCTCTTTTCACTTTTTCACTGCTGAAGGACCAGTATGGGGACCCCCTCTCCCTCCCACTGACAGCTCCCCGTCGCTCCCTCCTTCCCCTCTCCCGGCTGCTCTGTGCCCCGGAGCTGAGCAGCTGCCATTTCAATAGAATTAAAGCTTCCGAATGATAAACGTCTTGTCACAGCTGCAATTTTCTCTTCCCAAATTATCCCCCCACTCTCCCTCTCCCTCTCCCTCCTCTCCCCTGCACTTTATTGAATTTGCAGAATCGACATGAGTGATCTCCAAATTATGCCAGCTCCCCCTACTGCTGCCCCCTTCCTGGGCCCCCACCCCCACCCTCTCTTCCTCCCTCGTCAGCAGCCACCACCACCGTCCTGTGAGTGATTGTGTGTCTGGGATAATCGGCTGGTAACGACCCCATCGCTTCTTTAAAGCCGAGTGGTGTGTGCGGCTCAGCGCCCCCGGTGATTTGTCAGTTCCCCAGCTAATGGACCGAGAGATTCACCCGCCTAGCCCCCCACTCAGAGGCTGGGGAGCCCTTGTACTCCCCACCTGCTCAAGGAGCTACTCTGAGCCTCTTAGTACTAGGGATCTTCAGGGAGACTGCCGGGAGGCTGGGTGCCGAGGAAGGTCCTTCTTAGGGGGACGCCAGCAAGCAAGGTACAGAGGAGGAAGATGTGTCCTGCGGGTCCCAGCTCTGCTCTCACTCCCGAGTGTAGGCTGAAGGGGGTGCTTGGAAGGACAGCGTGTTACTGGCTGGCTGTGGGGTGTGTGTGGGGATGGGTGGGGGCATAGCTATGGTCATGGGGCAAGATAAGGGCTAGAGCGTAGGGGATGCCTTTCCTGTCCGAGTGTGCATCGCGTGTCTGTGTGTTCGTGACAGCCAGGGTGACCTCAGCAGCTCTGTATGGTGGGAAGTGCTAGACCTGCGGTGGCCGCTGCAACAACAGCTCTCTAAGCCGCCCCTTGCCCTCCACAGCTGTGAGGAACGACCGAAACAAGAAGAAGAAGGAGGCGCCCAAGCCCGAGTGCTCCGAGAGCTACACCTTGACGCCGGAGGTCGGGGAGCTCATTGAGAAGGTGCGCAAAGCGCACCAGGAAACCTTCCCTGCCCTCTGCCAGCTGGGCAAATATACCACGGTAGGTGCCCCCTGGAATTGGGGGTGGGGAGCGCCCTGCAGGATGTCCCTTCTGGTATGCTTTCCTCCTCACGCCTGGCCGGGAGCCTGGCCGGATCTCCTTATCTCCCTTCTCCCCTCTGCTGCCACTGCCTCCAAGGAGCTCTCAGGAAGTGGAGGCTGGCTGGAGGGCAGGTCAGGGAGCCAGGCTGAGCATGGGTGCCACTAAGGAGGCCCTTACTCTCCTCCCTCTCCCAGAACAACAGCTCAGAACAGCGTGTGTCTCTGGACATTGACCTCTGGGACAAGTTCAGTGAACTCTCCACCAAGTGCATCATTAAGACTGTGGAGTTCGCCAAGCAGCTGCCTGGTTTTACCACCCTCACCATTGCCGACCAGATCACCCTCCTCAAGGCTGCCTGCCTGGACATCCTGGTGAGGGTCTGCCCCCCACTGTCCTGGGCACTGCCCTGTTCTTGGGGGATGTCCTCTCAGCTGAATAGTTGTTCTTCTGAATGTCCATATTGAATTGACCTGTCCAAATGCCCACCACCCAAATATCCACCTTTCCTCCCCCATGTGTCCACCCGCCCACTCATTTGCCTGTGTATCTGTCCCCACAGCCACTCAGCAGCTAATGTGTATGCATTCACCTAATCACCTTGCTCATAGTAAGATTCACCTACACCCATCTGGCCAATCCTTGAGCTGTATCGGGAGCCCGAGGTGGACACACCACTGTACCCTCTCTTGAGAACCACAATGAGTAAACAGAGGATACAAAATTGCTAAGTGCTGCCCAGAGGGAAGGGGAGGCTGTGTCCTCCCCATCAGAGAGGGTTGTGACTCCCTGGCCACCAGGGAAGATGTCTGAAAGGAGCGCCCTCTAGAAGTTGATAGAAGGGACAGGTGAGAGGACTTCCCCTTCCCAGGAGCAAAAAAGGCCTGCTGCTGGGAGACCATTCTGGATTCAGGGGACCGCAAGGCACTTGAAGCTGACAGGGTGGACTGAGCTGTGGTTAGAATGCAGGAGGTGGTAGTGGGAACTGCCCAAACCGAGGCTGGGAAGAGGACTCTTCTCCCTGTCATCCCTGACAAGGGCTCAGTCCACCTGTTACCTTTCAAACACGTCCAGGGTGAGGCACCTGGGATTTGGTGAGGCTAGTGGGTGGTAGGCAGAGAGCGTGCTGTCCATGCGCAGCCACCCATCTCCATGCCCAGATGTGGAAGGCACCTGGTTCAAGTCAGGACACCTCGACTGAGCCTTGTCCTGTGAACTGTGGACACAGATCTTCCTAGTTCCCTGTCTCCTGGAAATTTGTGTCCCTCTGATTCTCTGTGGAGGCAAGATGACCTAGATCTGCACTGCCCAATACAGTAGCCACTTGCTCTGTGTGGCTATTTAAATTTAAATTAATTACAATTAGACTCAGGCCAGTTCCTGAGTTGCATTACTCACATCTCAATACTCAGTAGCCGCATAGATCTGGTGGCTACTGTGCAGGATGGTGCAGAGAGAAGCTTTCCATCATTGTAGAAAAATTCTGTCAGACAGCACTGCTCTGGCTGCCTGCCAGGTGGTCCTCTGGGGAATGCTGGTTATGTGTGCCAGGGGTAGATGGAGCTTGAGTCCCTGAACTTGTGCCTCTCTGCACCCAGATCCTACGGATCTGCACGAGGTACACGCCCGAACAGGACACAATGACCTTCTCCGATGGGCTGACCCTGAACCGGACCCAGATGCACAACGCTGGCTTCGGCCCCCTCACCGACCTGGTCTTTGCCTTCGCCAACCAGCTGCTGCCCCTGGAGATGGATGATGCTGAGACTGGGCTGCTCAGTGCCATCTGCCTCATCTGTGGAGGTGGGCAGGGGCCCGAGTGTGGGGGCCAGGTCCAGGGTGGGAGTGCAGGCCTTGGAGCCTTTGCAGAAAACTCAGACATCATCTGCCATGTTCCTCTGAGAGAGGGACACTGAGGCCTTGAGGGGCAGCAAGACAGCAGTGTCAAGGGCCTGAACCCTGAAGCCCTATTTCTTCTAGGGAGTTCAAGAATGAGGACTGGAGGGTCAGTCTGCCCAGGTTCAAGTCCTGGGCAGCTGTGTGACCTTCAGCAGGTTACTGATTTTTTAATGTTTATTTTTAAATTTTAACTTCTGGTTGTTGAGCTTTTCCGAGCCTGCTTCAGAGCCTCTGTTTCTGTCAAATGGGGTCAATAACAGTCGGTCTACCTCATGAAGTCGAGGTGGGGTTAACGTGGTTTTCAATAAGGCAGAGTGTGCCTACAGTAAGACCCGGTTCATGTTGGTTGCTGTCACCATCGTGTGGTGATTTCTGCAGCATCGTGCCTGGTGGGATTGGGAGCCTGCTGGGAATCCTCCCTCTGCTTGACAGTGGCGCTGCCTGTTTAGGGGTCCCAGACCCACAAAAGAGGCTGGTAGGGAGGGCTTTGATAACTCTGGTCCTAACTCCTCTTTGCTTACATGTAAGGGCCTCTGTTCCCACTGGGTGCTCAGAGACCCCCTGTCTTGTGGGGAGGTCTGAGGTACCCTCTGGGCTGCCCTAACTGTGGCCTGTTCAGACGTGCCCCCCAGTGGCCGATACTGGGAATGCAGTTGTGTGCTAGTTGAGGGCATCTGCTCAGGGGACAGTTCTGTGCTTCTCAGACCGGCAGGACCTGGAGCAGCCTGACAGGGTAGACATGCTGCAGGAACCACTGCTTGAGGCGCTGAAGGTCTATGTGCGGAAACGGAGGCCCAGCC